GTGGGGCGGCCGGAATGTCACAGCGAATCCACCTGCACGAGGACATCATTTCCCAGGAAGTGGTCTGGCTGAGGGGGTGGGAAGAGTCTGAATGGGTCTCTCTTCACCTTGGAAAAAGCAGGACTAAAATTAGAGGGATAATTCTATGTTGTGTTACAGTTGACACAACTTAGATAAGAACATGCCATTATAACTACGTTCAACTTTGTTCTAAAGAACAAAATAATATAAAAGGAGACACTCAGAAAGCTCATTTCTGCAAACTATTTAAAGGCGCCATCAGCTTCCTAAGAGCCTTTTCTCATCTGTGATGTTCCAGTCCTTCCTAAAATGCTCGCCCCACACCCCCTCCTCCGTCACTGAGCTGCCTAACTTGTGGGTGTGTGAGAACCAAGAGTCCTCAGACACAGGGACTTCTGCACGGCCTGAGGCTCAGCTCTGCCACGACTCACAAGGAACGTCCATGTCGGCAACGCTGCCCGATGCCCAACGGTCAACCAGACCGGAGGCCAGGCTCCGGGAGACGAGACACTGGTTTTGCCTGCAAAGGTGCGGAGGGGCCTGAGGGACGGGAGCTAATTTTACAGGCGCCGACTCGCCAGTCCACGGGGCTTGTCTGTGCAGCCCTGCAACTTGGGGCGCAGCTCACGGGACCCTAGGACAACAGCTCGCAGCTGTGACTCTGAAGCGTCCAGGCCACAGCTGAGGCGCGGCTGCTCCCAGTCCTCGCCCAGGCTGGTCTGAAGCCCCAGAGGGACAGCCCGACGCCCAGCAGGTCACACCCCTCCCGCCAGGCCCGCGTCGCCTCATCCAAAGGGCAGGGCAGTTCCACAAGGAGCGCGCGTGCCGTCAGCCATGCACGTCAGTCCTGGGGTGGAGGCTTTGGAGCTTAGCAAATGCCTTCATCCTGGAGCCTCAGTGTCCTCGTCCATGAAATGGGAAAGTGAGAGCAGGAAGCAGAGGCACCGGAGTGCTCGACGCAGGGCAGCTGCTGACATGCAGCTACGGGGTTTCTGACTGACACTCGTTTCCTCCACTGGAGATGCACCCTGACCTGCCTTCCCCTCAAACCACCGGATCGGGGGGCTGTCCTAGCCCTGCCCCCCCATCCCAGTCAGGGGCAGGGTCACCCCAAAAGGCCTTGTGCCTGAGCTTCCCTGGGACCCCGCTCCTTCTACGCGTGTTCACCTCTCGGCAGAACTAACTCCACCCCAAAAGGCCTTGTGCCTGAGCTTCCCTGGGACCCTGCTCCTTCTACGCGTGTTCACCTCTCGGCCACCTTTGCTGACGCGCTGCCCAACTACAAATGAGCCCTCCCCACCCGACTGCCCACCTTTGCTGACGCGCTGCCCAACTACAAATGAGCCCCTCCCCACCCGACTGCTCCTTTAAATCGGGCGACGTGCTTCCCTTTCTCGTGGGAGGAACGAGCAGCGTTTTCTCCGAGATGCAGAGCTTGGGAAGGACACCCCTGGCCGTTACCATGGAGACACGCGGGGCTGCCCTTGCTGCGTAAACAGGGGCTTGTTCGCTGCCTCGAGGGCCTGCCCGTGGTGGTAGCACAGGGAGCTCACCCCTGCCCTCTGCCCTCTGGCCCCTGCCAGGCCCTCCCAAGCCATGCAGCAACCTCTCCCCTTGCTCCCGTCCCCGGAAAGCCCGCCACGGAAGGAAGGCTCAGGGCAGGCGCCAACCCTCACCAGGCACTTTCCACCCACACGTGCCTCACACACGAAGCCCAGTGCCAGGCAGACTCCGCATCACCAGGTACAGCCAACAAGCAAGGTCTGCGTCTTGTAATGACGGACAATACCTGGTCTTGGACCACAATGTCCTGCCCCTTATGAGCCCACAGACGCCAGTGAGAGGCCGACAGACAAAACAACAGCATCAGGTGCCACGTCGTCAAAGGGAAGCGTCTGCGTCTGGTCCTCAGAGCGAGTCCTCAGGTCCCGTCTTGTCTGACAATGACACCTGCCCCTCCTCCCGGCCGTCAGCACATTGAGGCCGTGTGGTTCCCAGGCAGCGCCCACAGGGAAGGCGGCCTCCCCGAAGCCCAGATCCTTCCGGAATGTCACCTCGTTCTTGCTCCACTCGGCCCGAGCGAGGGCATCGTCAGCCGGGACGAGGCTGTGCACCTGGGAGCACACCCACAGCCAATGGATCCGCATCGCCAGGGCTAACGGTGCGTCTGGGAGGCAAGTCCCGTCCCGGCCCCGGCCCCTCACCGTGGAGGCAGAATAAACGCACCGCACGGAAGGTGAGGGGTCACTGGGAGGAGAGGAACCAGCAGGAACGCGGGCGCTGGAGAGAGGACGCGGCGAGGCAGGACCCAGGGCCGTCCTCCAGTGTCATTTAGCACAAAACTGTCACTGGCTCCATTTTGGGGGCAGGAG